TCAACATCACCCGTCTTGTACTTTTTTGTCTTCACATACACCTTCGCCCCATAAGCTATAGGCATCGGGTTGGGTATCCCCAATTTCTCACACCTCTGCTGCAAAGCAGCAGTTTGTACAGCTGTAGGCCAATGCTCCCTGGCCAGCCCGCCTGCATCAAGGAGGATCCTTCCTCTTCTTTTCAGAAAGCGTATTCCAGCCTCCGCAACTCCATTCTCGGCCGGCTCTGAACCCGTGGAAGTAGTTCTCAGAATCCCTTGAGATAGAATCCATCTTTTTACTGCATTGCCACGAAGTTCACCTCCTCGATCTGAGTGAATTCTTGATACGGGATAACCCAAAGAACGAATGTCAATCACCATCTGTTGTAGGGCGGGTAGAACATGCGTGACCTTCTTGCTGTTCACTGGCACGCAGAAATACAAAGTCTCCGTAATAAGAGGGACTTTGAAGGATTCCCGAAGTTTCCTCCATTCTTCCCTTTCCGCTTCTAAGTCTGCAGGAGAAGACCCATCATGCTCCTCCTCAAACTCAGGTTGCTCAACTTCTTCTTCCGAGAGGCACTCTTCTTCTCCCGGATCCTCATCAGGAATAGGGTGCCCATGAACAAAACCATCTCGTCCAACACCTCCATCAAGTAAAGGAATTCTGAATGCACCCAAAACAAAATTTCGGAAGAACTTCCCATCCGGTGACCGACCATATCCTTTAAGAGGGCCTGCAAGGTCTACCGAAAGCGTGTAGCCAGATGGGTGCATTGTGGCCCTGTGTTGCCGGCCCGTGGCGGCATTCCTGACGCACAATGCACAGTCACGTCGGAACGGTTGATGGTTCCTCATCACGTGCAAGCGCCATGCAGCGTCCTGCGACATACGGGCTAACCTGATCCTTCCATAGCCCTTTGAGTAGACCACACCCGTGAGACCACTAACCACATTGATCGCCTCCTCTTCCGCAAACATGGGGTCTGGGAGGTCCATCTCAATCGCATAGCGCTGGGCCTTGCCATCACACATCCAATCCAGCGAACTCACCTTAGAACCACGTTTCCGCTCAACCAAGAACCGTGGCATGTGCGAGCCCTTGTAATGCATGCCCGCAGCCGCCAACGAATGTAGAAATTGCACTCGTGCCCGGTGAACTCTATGAGCATCATGTTCGGCAACAGTGTCAGCGAGGTCCCGCGAAAGGAGCGCTCCTATTCGTCCCTGCGTGGCGGCCCAGAGTAAAAGCCTCCAAGTTGCATCGAAGCCACCCTGCGCCATTAGCGAACCCACGTTCAAGTAGGCCACCTCAAACATACGGCCAACCTTCTGGAGGACATCCGACTTCCTGGCAAAGCCCGCCGGGTCCCAGCGAACTATCCAAGTAGAGGCGTTCATCAACCGCTTCCTCGTCCGCCGGTTCAGACCCAAACCTTTCATTCTCTGCCAGCCTCCATCATTGGGAAACCTCAGCAACAACTTCTGGAGCTCCTCGCGCTCTGCCTCATCATAGAACAAGGATCGCCTCAAACTTTCCTTGCCCGACTGAACGTCCCCATTCACGACATAGTCCACCAAACAAGACCACCAGCTGACCTCAACATCCTTGAGAATCCGAACTGACTCCATGGTGGCTTCACGAAGGCGGGGAACATCATGTTGCTCTAGCTCCTGTATAAGCTTGTAGGCTGTCTGTTCATTCACCTCAGGACAACCGCGAACAACACTCAAGGGTATAGTTTCACCAGGTCCACGTTCTAGGCAGCATTCGGACGAGTTCCATCGTAGTCGATAGCCTAGTCGATCGATCACACGACCCAAAGGCACGATTACTTGTGACAACTCATCACCGCTGAGCAATGTACCTCCAGCAGTTTGTCGCATCGTAGTTCGCGCATCTCCTGCCAGGGCCACGTTCACCGTTACTGCATCCAGCCACTCCTGTTCGCTACGCGGTTGACGAAGAGGGTGTGTAGCTCCACTATCCATCAGGGCGGCTTTGCGTGGTTCCAAGCCATTCCATCGCTCACACCATTTCTCAACTGCATTGACCACCGGCTGAATTGCATGGACCTTCTTAAACTCATTGAGCACCGACATAACCCTCACTGCCGCCTCTGAGACGGTATCGAAACCCACCCTCCTGGACGGTGAGGAGGAGGTACTCGAGGGAGCGGAAGATGGCGACGCTGATGACTCTTTCGGTGGGGACGCCTTCGGGGGGTCCTTAGGTCTGGCCGCTGCTCCTCCTCCGGGAGCCTTGCAATCCCGGGACTTATGACCCACACCACCGCAAATCAGGCACCTTCTTGCACGCTCTGACTTCTCAAAACCAGTCCACTGGTGAGGGTATCTGCAGTCCTTGCCTCTTCTACATCCTTTTTCGCTCATGAAGAACTTGCACTGACTCCCTGCAGGTTTGGGTTGCGGAACTCCTGGTGGTGGTGGTGGTATCACGATACCACCCGTATCTGCCACAGTTCCCAAGGCCTTGATGCGCGGGTTCACAACCCCAAGGCGCGCCTGCTGCTCTAGTTCCGCCTGGAGGTGCTGGAAGAACTTCGTGACATTCTCCTGGGTGGGGCACACATCAACTTGCAGGGTGGATCTTATCAAGCTCACCCGGAAGGCCAACTCCGCGTCCGCCTTGACAACCATGTGACATATCCTGTCCAGGCCCTGAAGCAGAACACTTGAATCCGGCTCCGTTATTCCAATTGCAGTCACCCGCCGCCTCCACAAAGCCCATTTGCGCAAGGCTTCCACGGCAGACGCTGCGTCTCCACATTCTGAGGGCTTCTCCAGGTTTGCCAAAACCAAAGCCTTCTCCTGCCTGTTGCCCGGCTGGTAGGTTGAGAACAGTTTAGCCAATAAGTTCAGGGTGTTAACACCCCCCGCAGCAATCACCTCTTCCTTCAAAGCCGTAGGTATCGCCGTCAGCATCATAGCCGTTGCTCTCCTTTCCACCCGGGTCCATTCAGGTTTGCTGAGACCCCGTGACGTAACCGGTAAAAGGTGCAGTCGCTCCAAAGGTGCAGCTACAGAATACCTCGAATACCAGTGCACTACTTCTTGCAGCATCTCCGACCACCAGGCACTCGAAGAGTCACTCAAATCCTCCATAATAGGTGTTTTTTGCGTAATCCAATTGATCAAGTCGATGCTGCCGGTCTCGGGGGTGTATGATGGTAGGGCAGGTAGTTCCGTTATCCCAGGTTTCACTGTTTCGGGTCGATCACCCCGGCTATTCTGGCTCATAAGCAAGGACTCAAGCCCTCTGGCCATGGCGGACAGCACCTGATCGCTGCCAGCTAAGTTTGTAGACGCAACTGCAGGTAGAGGAGGTGGAGGTATGCCGGATATAGGTGGCGCGGAGGTAGTGGTCGTTCCCCTTAGGGTAGTTCGTTGCCCTTGATGACCGGTTGCGCTACCCGAAGAACCTCCATAGCCAAACAAACCCTGAAGAAACCTTCGTCCTCGTCCTTCTTCAGCTCCACTTGTTATCAATCTTCCAGGTTCAACACCTGAGCTGGGCAACATAGTAGGATATGAATGTTCAGGTTGAGGCGGGACACATGGACCTTGCAATTCTTTAGGCTTCGATGGCACCCTCGAAACACCCGGAAACATTGCCGAAGTAGACCTCCCATCCAAAGGTTGAGGTACAGGAAGAAGTTCACGAAGACGCCCGAGTCCAGGAGGAGGGGGAGGTCCTTGCATGTTGATGGCCTCGTTATTCCCAATGTGGCCACCCCTCGTGCCCCCTTGGAAGGTGTCCTCAAAACCCTCTGGCTTATAGTCCCTAGTAGCCACCGCTTGTGCCTGTCTTTCCACAAGTTCCAGCTGCATCCGTAGGTCATGGGCTTGACGCTCGGCTTCCTCCGATCGCTGCTTCTCGGCGTCAATTCTATCCATCATTGTCTTATACATCTCATTCACTGCTCCATCCAACTGCTTTGATACCTCTGCTTGCACTAGCTCATACGGTATCGGTGCAGAACCCGTGGAAGGAGGCATACGGTTCTGCTCTCTTTGCGGATCCCTTTCAGACAAAGCTCCAAAGGGCTGCTGATTGCCCGACCAGGGATTCTCCATGTTTCTCGCAGTTGGACTATGCGTCCACGCAGTGTGGACTTCAACTCTTCGTTGCTGAAACAAATCCCCCAACCGCGACATCCAGGTCTGAGCCCTCGAAGTCATAGCCTCCATCCCAGAACGCGTAGTTCCATGCATAGCCGGCGAAGCTCCCGGCAAAGGTGATGGAAAAAGGGCCGCCGAATCGAACGCGGCAGCAGGCAAAGTTGCCCGCCCAGAGGCAGGGCTCACACCCTGCAAAACATCTTGCCCCAACGCGGTTGCCTCTTGCCCCAGGGTACTTCGCGGTACCGAGTTGCTATCCGGCGCCTGTGTATCCTCATCGATACTCGCTGGCAGACCACCATCCATAGTAGGTACTGTAACATCCACCTGAGGCATACGGTGGGGAGGTGGAAAACCATTCATCTGTACGTTCCCGGTTTCCGGTATTGGAACCGCTTGCCCCGTAGGCGTGCTATCATAGTTCGGCCCACTCTGCTCACCAGGCAGCAAAGGGCTGCTAGCGTTTTGGGCGCTCATAACCTGCTGAAGTGTTGCAGACCAATGCAGAATCAAGGAACTTCCATCAGCGGCGCGCGGATATCCTAAGGCTCACTTTTTCCACACACGGCAAATGCTTCGCACTGCTCTAGCTGTGCCTTGCATCAGACACACAAAGTCCCTCTAAGAAGTTGCGTGCCTTAAGTCCATGCCCATCAAGGGCGCTACAGCACATTTGGCTAATTATGGAGTTTGCCTATAAAGGCTCTGTACTGAAGTGTTGTCCCCTACGGGGGCCATGGTATCTCCTCATTCGCCTAGTGCACTTGAGCGACGGAGCGGATGCATTCATCTGAAAGCTTCCCTTTCATCATTAGGGTTCAGGGTCTAAACCCTAAACCCTAAACCCTAAACCCTAAACCCTAAACCCTAAACCCTAAACCCGAAACCCTATGAGGGTTCCATAAGGGCTCTGCCAGGGATCCTAAGGGCTCTACAAGGGACCCGAACTCCTCAAAGCCCAGAGCCCCACAGCTGTGAACGCGACTTCAGCCCTAAACCCCATGGAAGAAGGGTTTAGGGTCTAGGGTTTAGGGCTTTGGGGTTTCGGGGTTTAGGGTTTACGGTTCAGGGGTTTAGGGTTTAGGGTTTCGGGGTTTAGGGTTTAGGGGTTTAGGGTTTAGGGTTTACGAAACAGAAAGCAAGAGGCAGCCTGGGTGTGCGCTGCCACAAGCCCTTGTGACCCTTGTCGATACTATTAAGCGCCCGAATCTCTAAACAGCCCCTTAAACCTTGAAGCTTTACATCCTAAACCTTAAACCCTTAAACCCTGACAGCCTAAACGACCCTAGCCCCCAAACCCCACACCTCAAACGCCCAAAACCCTCCCAAAAAAGGCCGCCAAAACCCTAAACCCTAAACCCTAAACCCGAAACCCTAAACCCTAAACCCCAAAAAAGGCCGCCGGGGTGCACCTGACGGTCGTCCCCGGGATCTCCGGCGTGGACTATCTTGATCCCGATAGCTTCTTCGGATTGGCGGCCGAAGCCAGCGGCTTTTCCTTAAGGGTTTAGGGTTTCAGGGGTTTAGGGTTTCAGGGGTTTAGGGTTTAGGGTTTAGGGTCTAGGGTTTGGGGTTTAGGGTTTCAGCGGTTCAGGGGTTTAGGGTTTAGGGTTTAAGGTTTGCTTTTATTGTTGAAAGTTCCGTCAATTTTCACAAGGCTTCACGGGAGCATTAGGAGTATGTTCGAGAGTTTTATCACGTTTTTCTGGGCCACTGTGGTTGCTTCTAGGGTCGGGTTTGGGGGGTTTGCAGCTTGACTCTCTGGAGGGTCTTCCAGGTTTCCAGGATCCCAAATACATGTTCGAGGAACTAGAAACCCACAAACTTATGCTACCAGGATAGAGTTCAGGGAAATGACGGCTTAGGGTCTCAGGGTTGTATGGGTTCAAGTTTTATGGTTGCAAGTTTCAGAGTTTAACGTTGCAAGTTTGGTTTGGGGTTTTGGCATAGAGCCTAAACCCTAAAGCCTAAAACGCCTTAGCGGCTTGAGTCTGCGAGTTTCCTTGGAGCTTAGCATGGTCGGGAAAACGGTCTTGTCCCATGTCGAGATTAGGGTTTAGGGTTCATGTCGAGATTCGTAATAATGGTTGGGGAAAGTGGTCGTTCATTAAGACTACTCCTGGCCACCCCTCTATCTCGAAATAAGTTCGACGGATAACTGATTGTTGTATATATCACCAAAGCCCTCTTCTGAGTACTAAAGCCACCCTAAACCCTAAACCCCTAAACCACTAAACCCTAAGCCGTAAACCCAAAACTCATTCCTTGTGGTGTTTTTCTAGAAACCGCAGTCCTAACTCTCAATCAACAGCATACCTCTTCACAGACCCTGCGTTTCCCTAAGCCCTGAGCCCGAATCCTTAAACGCTGAACCCTAGAGCGGGTTTAGGGTTTAGGGTTTAACGTTCAGG